CAGACTAGACGCTCATTTGCTGGGAAACTACTGAACATATGCTTATGATTTTTTTAGCTGCGGTAGTTTGCGCCTGACTCACGCTTAGCGCTTATTTTTGTATCTCCAGATTTGCTAGTGTGACAATCGATTCTATTTCTGTTTATCGACATAAATATGAAGCTCAAGGGCTGAAGTCTCCTGTCCTCAATAAACTGACTTAAACTGATAAATCTCCATATTGACCTAATTTTAAGACCCCGTTTGTCCATGAGGTTAAATAAATCTGTCTGAGCAATCATAAAATGCTACCTTGGGGTCCCTACTCTCCAGGCGTCTAGTGGGAATTCACGTACTGCACGCAATCAGCAAGCCCCTTTGACCGGATATTTCTCCATTCGGTCACTGATGAGCTCTCTGCCCAACATGCCAAAATGTCCCTTCTATTCTGAGATAGAGCACAGGCGATCTGTTTATACCTCATCATTATTAGAGGAATTGGTTGCATTTCCGGATTGGGTTCTCGGACGCTAGTTAGCTGAAGTGATCATTTCCTTTTTGTTTGGAGTACCCAAATGTTTCTGTATCCGATATGCAAGCCCTCGTGGAAAGAAATGTACGGAGAAATGACTATCCTCGAGTAAAAAATCTATTGAAAGTGATGAAATGGAACGCGGCACAAGTATATACCTGACCGAACGCCGATTGACTCTTCTTCAAGAGCACAAGGCAATATTTTTAAAAAGCTGTTACCCACTTAGGCGGTGACCGATCATTTCTCGATCAGATTAAGTGACGTCGGAAATAAAGGTAAATCTTAGGATAGGAAGGATGCTTCGGAACAAGCACGCCATATGTCAGCAACTAGAGTACTTCACTGATTTTAACAGAACAATGAAACATTTGTCGGAGTCTGCCGAGGAGGAAAAAACGGCATCCAAATCAGAAATAGTCAAGCAAAACACCGCTCAATTCCAAAGAGTTTAGTTACGGACTGCATTCCTTGTCTAATAAATTGCCAGGGGAATAAGTTGTCTGGTATGCCTGATAAGGCGGACCTCATATTCGACTTCTTTACGTCCTTGTCTACCGATGTGCCGGCTTTTGCAGAGATATAATACGCCCAACTGCCTCGTCTGGCGATACAATTAACATGGCAGCCTCAGCAACAAACACGGTATGCGAAACTTTGCGATGGCTAAAATCCAATAAATCGCCTGGTTCGGACGCCATACTCGCAAAAGCGCTATGTAAACAAGCAGGCTAACTGGTCTCCCTACTTTAGAAGATATGTGAGACCACGCTGGAGGCTGCGATTCTGTCATCTGATGGGAAGAAAGTCAGCATAAGCCCAATATATTAAGGGGCGAGAACCTGCCCACGTATCTTCAGACCAATTAGACTCACAGGCATCTGTTGCAAACTGATGGGGAAGATAATGAAGGTGGAGTGAGAGGCATCTTGGAGAAGGCCACTTGCTTAGCATGCTCATATCCAAGGAGAGCTGAACAAAATCAGTTGAAACGAGTTTATCAGTACAAACCGTACATATTAACTTCAGAAAGTCTCTTGACAGTGTTCTACACAAACTTATATTTATATTCAAACGGGTGGGTAGGAACGGAAATCTATTTGAATGATTGACCGACCTCCCCACAGACAGGTCTCAACACGTTGGTATTGGTAAAGCCAAATCGGAGTGAACAATCGTTCGAGATGGCGTTTCGCAAGGGAGTGTTCTGGGCTCCATTCTGTTCTCAATATACGTCAACAACTGCCGGCAACACTTGAATTGCAAGTGGGTAGTGTTGACCAATGATCCCAAGTTGCAGAAATCAATAGAGTGGTCGGACGACTTATTACAACTGAAAAATAACTTGGACTGTCTGCGAAAAATAATTTGATGAGTAGTTTCTTAACTTTAACTTTACCAAGTAGCAAGTTATGCGATTGCGATCTAACAACAGGAAGACGATGAGTTTTGAATATCACCAGGGGTCACCAACTCGAATCGGTTAACGAGGTAAGAGACCTCGGTGTGTGGATGACGTCCGCTTTCAAGCTATCAACCCACTGCTTAAAGGTACCGAAGAAGGCCAAGGGCATCCTAGATGCGATCATGCGGTCCTTTGTCAGTTTGGATGAATAGATTTTCAGCCGAATGTTTGGAGTATTTACCCTGTCGATGTTAAAATACTGCATTTAGACATGGCGTCTCAGAGTGAGGCAAGATTACGTCTATTTTGATAACGCACAACGAACAGCAAATGAACTGTTTGATGGGTTAAAATGAAAACCGTATGAAATACGATATGAAATACGGAAAGGCTAAACATATTTCCTTCCTCTCAAAAACCATACGTCGTATATGGGATCGTGGTCCTCAGAATAGTTAGAGGGCTAGACTGTGTCTTTCATTTCTACGACAGCTTTTGAAATGGTATGAATACCTGCTGTTCGGAGTCACCAACACAAATTGAAGATAGCCAAACTTGAAGTGCGGGCCGAACTCTTCTCCCACCACGTGGTTAAAGAAGGTTATTGAATGCCGAATTCGATTATGTCGGCGGAAAACACTGAGATCTTGAAAAGAAGAAGTGACAAATTTACAAATTTATATTGGTATATTTACTCGACAATAATGACAGCCATAACTGTTATGCAAATAAACGTTATATGATTTATAGAATAGGTTTATTGTAGCGCCCCTTGGGCACTGTCAGTCCCCTTTGAGCTCAGGAAAAAAACCTAAAACAAACTCGTCAATTTCAACTGCACTTTGACTTCATTTGCTTCGGGTGTCTGGTTAGCCAAAAGAGCGCGAATTGAGAGTTTGTTTTAAGTTAAAAAAACCTCAGTTCTAAGGGAAAATAATAACAAAATTTTCAAAAAATAACGATATGTACAATATAAAAACTAAAGTTTGCCGAAATTTAAGAAAGATTGCTAGCCACTCGCTAATCCTCGCCAACAAATGGACCAAAGCTTTGAAATAATAATAATTTACGGCTTTGACCGATAAAATCCTTTATGAACACATTGTGCATGAAAAAGAAACATTGTCCAAAACCGACTACGCGAATAAGTATAAGATACAGCACTTTAGATGCTTACACTTGATCGTGCCAATCTTTGTCATCACGTTTTCTTAGGTAGGTCATATACTTAATGCACGTCTTCATCTCTATATCTGCAGACGAAGTCGCCCAACGGCTCTGCCTATCTCCCTTGAATATACTGCTTTATGCTAAATCAACTCCTGCTCATTGGACAGGAATATGAGATGCGTCAAGGTCCGTCGTTTTCCATCTTTTGCTGCTGATCTCCCTTCTTCGGCAACAAAAGAGCCGAACAGGCGCGACCGAAGCATGTCAGCGGATCCCACCTCCGTCCTAAGGATGCCAGGCTCGTATCTGTGGCATTTTTACGTTACTGTCGTTTACTCCAGCCACACTTTGATTGGTCTTATCCGCATTTCTTACTGATGTCAGTAAGAGGATAAAATGCCCCGCGGACACCGAGGCAGCACTTTCATTCCTAAACCCCAACAGATTAGGCAGCATTTGGTTTCAAAAAGTCAAACTTCTGATAACTCATCTTTTTACTGTTGCAGCAAATAATACGCCTATCTCATCCTTCTTGTATATTAACAAGGCGTTCTATCTGCACATACAAAAATATCCTAACTCCTTTTCTGGTTGCACTGGTATACAATGGTAAGGTATTCATGGGTAGACTTTCTTCAAGCTCATAATTTTCCAGTCGATTTTTCCATCCATCGCCTCGTGTCTGCAACGACCACAATTCTACTCTACCGTGCCAACTTCCAGATCAACCGATGGTCCAATATCCCCGATCCTTCCGACCAGGTTCGTCTAGGTTAGTACTTTGCTGTCTCTTCTGGGAACAAATGGTTGTCGTATGCGACCTTGTTCGTCAGAACGCAGATACTTTTGTATGGGAGCGCAAACCGCTAGGTCGGGCAAGTGTGTTGCAACATGCTATGAACGCAAGATTGTGCTGCCGTATCCGCCAACTCCCCCACACTCCCCATGGTGCCCGTTGACGTTCCAAAACATTTGAAGCAGGCCGTCGAGGACATGCCGACCAGGCACGTTTTGCGTCCCTCTTCTTTGCCCTAGGCGTCTGTAGCACTCCTCGTTAAGAAGGCACAGTTGCCTTCGATTATGTATAAAACATCGAAAATTAAATATGGTAGGGAGGGCTCGCCGATCGTTCTTACGGAACTCACTCGTTCCGTTGTGCCTTACGGGCTCTTTCTGGAGCCCAACCAGCAGCCGCACAGCGGCGCATGACTTTTCACCTACTGCATTTGTTCTTCACTGGGCGGTGTTGACAGTTAATTCCGTTCTGACGTGGTCGTTCCGCCTGGTTTTCCTCGACTTGGTCTTAACGTGGTATTGCATTATCGATTGACTGGGCCCGCTAAAATTTTCTGCAAACGGAAATGGAACCAACAACTTTGTCGTAACCGCAAGGGCATCTCATTGTTCAACGTCTCCGAGAAGATCTTTGTGCACACCCTTCACAGTCGCCTCAACGACCATCTGAAGCACGGACTCCTCCTGGAATACCGGTGTGTCTTCCAACTACATCGCGGAACCACGGACGTGAATTTCGCTGCCAGCCAGCCGCACGAGAGGTGTCAATAAGTGCATATTGACCTCTACACTGCCCTCGCGTTCCTGACGAAAGCCCTTGGCACGGTGAATCGTGATTGACTCTGGAAAAGCATTCAGAAATTCAGCTGTCCCGGGTGGTTCACTCACATGGCACGTCAGCTGCAAGAGAGGATGATGGCGCGCGTCGCGGACAATGGGACAGTCTCAGAAGCATTCGCAGTAACCTATGGATCGGAAGAGGTCTGCGTGTTCGCCCCGACTCTCATCAGTCTCATGTTCTCTGCCACGGTTATGTACGCCTACCGCGATGCGCGCCCTGAGATCCGCATCGTCTACAGAACCGATGACCATATCAGTAGCCGGTAGGTGCAGGCCACAATGCGTTTCTCCGCAAATGCTGTCTACGGCCTGCTCTTTGCGGACGACTGTGATCCCAACACCACGGCAGAACCGGATGTACATGGACGCATGGGTCTCTTCGCCACTGGCTGCGCCTACTCCGGACTAGCCATCAGCAAGGGCAAAACGGCAATTTTGTATTACCCAACACCCAAAACTGATTACAACGCCCATCGCATCAATGTCAACGGCGCACTACCGAAGACTGTAGAAAATTTCGCCTATGTAGACAGCATGTCTTCGCATAGCATAAATATCGGCAGCAAAGTGGCTCACCAGGCTTCCAAAGTCAGTGAGGTCATCTTCAGGCCCCGCCAGAGACATCCACGGACTTCGACTCAATGCGAAGTTCAAAATTTGCGAGGCAGTAGTTCGGACAACGCTACTACACGGGGCCAATCAGGTCGGGAAAATCAATCACTTACACCTCAGCTGCCTTCGGAGAATCCGAAGGCTGAGATGGCAGGACAGGATTCCCGACACGGAACCCTTGGAACAGACCGGGATCCTCGACATCAACGTCTTGCCGAGATAAGTAAGACTGCGATGCAGCGGCCGCCTCCCGAGAATGGCTTTTCTACGGTGACGTCGCTACAGGCCTTCGCCGACAAGAAAGGTAAAAACCGCGCTACAGGGACACCCTGCGGACCTTCACTAAGGATCTACAGATAAATCCGGCGACCTGGGAGAAAGATAATGCAGACAGGAACAGCAGTTAACGAAACCAGCCGGATCGCCATTCTGAATACAAAAAGAGCTCTCAAATCTCAAGTTTCTCCGACCCATAACGACAAAACCCAATCTCTCCCAACATGCTTAAGCTACCAACGGACATTCCGCGCACGGAGTGACCTTGTTGTACTTCTGCGGACACGGGCAACAACAACCCAGCAAATTTACCTGCTGCCTTCTCAAACTCCCCTATCAGCAATCCTGTCACAACCCTCCCGACAACGACGACAACGACGACTACCGCCTCGACCACTCTCGCCACCAGTAAGAACGCCCCCGACGCCATGCCAGTCACTACCCTCACCATCACCGGCCCCACCATCAGCAGTGGGGACTCGACCCAAACGTGTCTTCATTCCGACCGCACCTTCATATCACGTATCTGCCTGGCAGGTCACTTGCAAATCTATCGCACTGTAACCGGCACACCAGTGTCAGGAGCCCTGATATACATTCGCCGCATCCGCCTCCACTGCCCGTAGGTACTCTCAACCATAGCATGTACCTTATGAAAATCTGTAGTAAATCATCGCAAACTGGACCACATCATTACATCACCACATCAACATATGCAACAGACCTGAGCACGCCAACGTCACACACCGCAGGCACGAATTAGGTACTTCTCAGGTAGGCAGGAAATATGTTCTTCGGTTCCTTCTCAATGTGGCTCCTGTGCTGCCCGTGAGATCCGAGCAGATGCAGGCAGCGTGTGACACGCTGACGGGCTGTCCTTGGCTCTGTCAGACACCTCTCACAAATCTCACTATCAACTGGTTCACCAGCTCGGATAATCGACTGGTGCACGGGGAAGGGAAGAAAGAGAGTGAGGTCGACTTTTAGCGAATATTGCTCACTGCGAACAATCACACGAGCCTGAGATTATCACAGTCCGCCAAAAAAACGTGTCTCAGAAGGTTGCCAACTTACAAACCGGCTCACACCTCGCAGTCAGCCCAGTGTGTGTTTGCGTGGAGTGGCCGACAAGTAGACTGAGAGTCAGAGTGTAATGCTTTCTTCTTTATGTAATCTGTATGGCACTCTCAGTTGAGACCCGAACAGTCCTGTTCTCTTGTTTTGTGAAATCCAGGTCGTTTGTATGAGGGACCAGGGGCTGTGATTGCATGCCCAGTCACGCTATCTACCTGCGCCATCTTCCGCCTCCGGTCTTCTTGATTCTGTCATGACTACAGACCCAGATGAAAGAGGGGAAAGAGAGGGCGCGGTAGATGCAGAGCAAGATCGCAAGTTCATGCGCAAGCCGTCGTCCCTGCGCCCACCCAGCTGTGGGCACAGGGTGGACATTGTCGAAAGCGACGGACAGACTGCAGTGTCCTGTAGCCTTTCCCTTCCTCGCCTCCCCCAAGTACTAAAAGATAACGATCTAGCGAAGGCCTCCAAGTGTCCACGGGGTACAAAGAATGCCTACTATACGTGTTTAAGTAGGTCGTGTTTTATTCGATATCCTCCTTAGCATGGCCGATTGGGGGGTTAGCATCTGACTTCCCGTTGCATAACCCACCTTGTCCATAGCTCCGAGGCTGTTGTACGCCTTCCATTCATTGCTAACCATGATGATACCTTTCGCGACCCCTTTCGTTATGACAGTTCGCAGGGCTGGCCAGCTTCTGCCGTTCACTCGCTCAAATAAGGCCTTCCGGCCAGTGGTATCATACATTCCTACCAGCCACCACTGCTTTTACCGTCTACCGACGCTTATCAGCGTTTCATCCACCGGCGCCTCAGTTTCTGGCCCGCTTACCTTCTGCGTTTCATTCATGAGTACGGTGGAGCAGACATTGCGACGTATCGCACACCATTCCACAGTCGTGCCATGAGCCACGCCTATATCCTTCTCACATTCCTTCATTCGCATTCCTCTTGGAAATGAGAACCACATCTTCATACTTGCGCTGATTGTCAGCCGGCTGTTATCAAATACAGAAGCGGTTCTCAGGGTCCTCCTCGTTCTACAGCGCACACATCGAAATATAAAACTATCTGAGTGGTACCGTGGGACTTGCTGCTTCATTCCGTTCTTACACTTGCATGACAATGTCGTCGGCAGAAGTCCTTTTTTTTCTAGCAGTATTCCAGTTACTTCACGGGATTTATTTGTTCACTTTGGCTTCGGTGTTGCGTTTGACTTAAAAGACTTCTTTTGGCTTTCGTCGACAATGACCTGTGATATTGAGAAAAAGATAGCGTTTTGCGAAAACACTATGCCGCCTAATAACGCCTCCGGATTTTCCTTTACAGTAGGCGGGTTAATTCATGAAATGCCAGGAATTAACTGCCAAAATACGCATATTTCTACTGCATCCAGAAACTCAATATGACACGGATGAAATGACGCAGTCCGCTTATTACAGTAGATGTGCTAACTCATGAACTGACAACCAAAATTTCGAAATGCGTTCTCGTTTCGACAAGATAAATTAAGTAGTATTGTAAAACTAATCATGATGCAGCAGAAGTCTATAATGATCCGGTTACGTCAGGGTGTCGGCTTTCGAAGGAACTTATTTTCGGCTGCATGCAAGAGCTTTACTCTGCTAAAAATGACTACTTAAGCAGCATGCAATTTTCTCATTGATTTTCGATGCTCTTGAAAATTCAATTATATTTCGTGGAAAAAATTCATAAAAACATTCATTCTTCTACTTATTCGGTAGAAAATCACGTCTTCTTCCAATTTCATACTTAAAAGAAGAGTATAATTCGGTTCTAAAAAAACTTTTCTAATTCCCGAATAATTTTGAACCCGACCTGCTGTTACACTTGCATTCAGGGTTTCAAAACTACAAGCTGTATATGTTCCCTGTACGGAAAACCATGCATTTCTCTACGGTGTTAAGAGGAGACCATATGAGGTTCATAAAATTAAGCAGTGGATTTGAGCAATATTGTTAACTTTACAAGCCACATTTGTAAATGCAGATACATGAGGTTTCATGAACGGCCATTTAACGGTATTAAAAATCTCACAATTAGAAACATTTTTAAAACCGATTTATACCCTTCGTTTGAGCATGAAACTGGAAGAAGACGTGATATGCTACCGAATAAGTAAAAGAATGAATATTTTTATGCATGTTTCCCATGTAATATAATTGAATTTTCAAGGGCATCGAAAATCAATGAAAAAATTTCATACTACTTACGTAGTCATTTTTTGCAGAGTATAGATCTTGCATGTAGCCAAAAATAGTTTCTTTCGAAAGCCGACACCCTGAGGTAACTGGAGCATTATAGATTTATGCTGCATCATGAGTAGTTTTACAACACCACTCAATTTATCTTTTCGAAAAGAGAACGCATTTCGAAATTTTGGTTGGCATTTCATGAGTTTGCACATCTACTGTACTTACACTTGTAAACTTCCATTCTGAGAACAGAGTTGGTATGATGCCGCTGAGATAACGCTCATGGCAATTGCTATACGGTTCACAAAATTAGGGTGCGATGGGCTCCCAAATCCGCCTCCTTTCGTCTTCATTGGTTGGATTTGCCTTGGTTACCTATCCCGACGTAAACTATTGATTAGCGTTAACTTGAATCGCTTTACAGCTGAAATGTTGCTCGTTGTTTATCTTTTTGAATTTCCCGCTCCATTTTCGTTGTAACATGTAATGATATTGAAAGTTCTGAGTCACTCTTTGAAATACTTAACTCACTTCCTTATTTTTAGCATTTCACACACCATCCACATGCCCCACCCGTAGAACCCCCGTTACCACCATTTCTGCAAGACAGGCGGTTGTGGCTACCAAGTGACACTTGGGGACCTTTACTAGATCCTTGCCCACAAAAATCATACGACGTAAGCGACAGCGATCGGGTAGGTTGTCCCAGGTAATCTGGTTGGTACCCTATTAACCTGTATTTAAATTCGGCGGCAACGTGGAATGACTAAGCAGTCCTATTTAGGGATAACACTGCTTACTGACAGGTGGGGTAAGAGGTAGAAGAGGTGTTCCAAACGAATACTGGGTAACTGCGCGCCTACAAGCTGGCTGAGGCTTGTGGACGCAATATAAGGACTGAAAGCCTGTAAAAAAGTACCAACCAGACCCGTCTCTGTCCTGCGCCCTCTCACAGGCTGCCCGTGTGGACTCTTGGGTGATCTGGCTCGCCGACATTGATACCGGGGACAGCGGTTATCGGCACACTTTCCTCGTGGCATGTAGCGGCCTAGCAACCCATCCTATAATTGCAACACCTGGGCAATTCACTACCCCTATATGACTCTGTCTCTGATGATGGATTCGAGTGAGAATCCAAAACATCAGGCTATTAAAGCACTTGTTCCAGCGATCGTGTCTCCTTCTCCGAGTCTTCTCATGAACAACCCCTTCTTTCGCCTCTTAACACAGAAGAAGACGACGTGAATGCACCCTCACTCGCGCCACTGGCGGTTGCTGAACTACGTTCTCGTTCGGAAGCGTGACCGGCGTGAAGTGCTACAGAAAAGTACGGGGCGATGCCAATTGCTGAACGGACCACCATCTCGTTGATTATAGGAGGTGGCTGTAAATGCAACCTCATAGGCATCTTCAAAGTAGGCCAGCACAGAATAAGTTGAATACTATGGATGAATGGGGCTGACCACCGATTAGTACTTAGGAATCGCCTGAATCTGTGTGCGAATCAAATGCAGGTTCCAGAGACGAAGACCACTACCGAGACTTTGTGCGGTGACCTGTGGACGTCGTCCAAACCACGACTCTGGAAGTCGTTGGTCACGCACGCCGTCGGCACCAGGATTTGTTTCATGACATCGATGAGAAAATATGCAATCTAATCTCCGAGAGGAATTAGCTGCCGACGACCTACATCAACCACAAAAATGAGGTCAACAAAGCGGCCTTCTTCCGTTGTTGGGGCCTGGTGCAGCAGTGACTGAGTGAGATGCAAAATGCTTAGATGACTCACAAGGGTAAGCAGACCGTAATGAAATGGTAAACATGTTCACACAAATCGAGGTTGTTTGTGGTCAGCCAAACGAAGGCGACTGTGCCGTTGATAAGCTGAGCATTTCGCAGGCGTCCTCAATCGGCTATTCACAATATCGCACGGAGTCATTAACAGACTCCCTCAAATGGAGACTAATACAGACTCCGACTGCCCACCGTAGCTGTAAGAAATCGTTAAAGCTGTACATCAGATATCTGGAGGCAATGTCAGTGGGAGACCTTTTGTGGACTTTTGTGTCCGTATATCAGTCAAAATTAATACACCTGCAACACTGGGGACGCGTGCTTGAGG